AGGAGGTAAAGACAATACACGCGAAACTCGCGGTTACAATATTGGCGTATGACAGATCACTTGTGCTTATTTTTGAGGCTCTAACTCATACACACACATGTTGTGAGATACCCATTGGATGCACTCAAAACATTGTCTTCATTTTGTGTCATTTTGATGCCTCCTTTTCCGTCCGCTCTAGTCTGCTCAACGTGAAGAGAGCTATGAAGAGACTATTCGTGATTTGACTGAACGACTAAAAGCTGTAAGCTTTTGATCGCATTCTAGCCTGTTCGGCTTGAAGTGCTGCATGCATCTCGTCTGCCTTCATTAAAGTTAGCGCATGAAATTACCTGGCGGGATGGGTGATAAAGGATTACTCAGTACCTAATTATCGGTGCCGAAGATGATGGGTTCACTCAGTCAAAGGCCGACTCGAGGGAATTTGCGTAATCATATAGACCAATCATAGATTAGTCAGGCTCTTCATAAACCTTTTCACGTTAAATAGTTGCTGCGGCTCCCTTCAGCCGTTTTACATGCGTTAATCTCCTTTTCTCCTGCATGCATCGCCAAACCGCTTTTTGCATGACAACCACCACTTTCTGGGTCGCCATCGCCTTCGTCCTACCTATACGTGTGCAGAATATGGAACTGGAGGAATTTTACAGTAAACAACGCAGCATTTTGACAGAACAGTTAAACGAGGTGAGCTATTTGACCGGAAGGAGTACTATTCCTGGTTGCCGTCGCTTTTAAGCATTGGACAGGAGACCATGCAATTTTTATCGAACAATTTTTGGTATGTTACTTCCGGACATTGTGGGCCGTGTCCTGATATGAGTGCCTAATTTTCAAGCCAGAAGTCTGGATAAAGACGACCTTTAAGAACTGTCCGTCCTTTTTATCTTATTATATCACGTAACTAAATTGTCACTCATTGGAATTAGGTCCCCGCTTATTAGAGCCGACAGAGCTGTGATATTTTTCAGGAGACTGAAGGCTTCGGGAGCTCTCTAGTAGGTTTCTTTCACCCCGGCATTAACTGCTGTTGTCCATGAGGCTATGCAATGGTCTATCCAATTCTCATCCTTTTTCGCAGCAACACTAATGATATCGTTATCAGCCGGCTTAGGACGCGTGAACACTTAGGATCCATCACTGTTGTTTTTTTAAATCCATCCAACTGTTTCTGCTGCACTCGGCAGTTGCGACTTGCCGTAGGCGTCCCCGATACTCGATGAAGCTTCAGCGACAACAATCTTAAAGATGTGCAAGTCTCTACAATGGGTGGCGTGATGGCTGATGTATACAATCCTTCTTAAAATGATAAAGTACAGTGTTTACATAAGTAGACCACCTTTTATGGGCCGAAAAGGCGAAGTCTAGCCGTTGGATTTGGTCCTTTTATCGATGCCCAATAAAGGTGCCCGAACATGAGGCTACAAGGTTTCTTGGTATCGACCTTGCAGACGTGGTCCTCAGCATTGTGTGACCGTCCTCTCAAGGAGGTGCCAGGAAAAGCTTAACATATACTGGTTTTCAAGCGGGAAATGGGCACGTCGGACACTGGCTTTTTCATATACACTGGCTTTCCGCCTCTTTTGCTAGTAACTGACTTTTGTCGTCTTTGTTGGTTTTATAATAGAGTCTAAGG